CTCCTCCTCCTCCTCCTCCTCCTCCTCCTCCCCCTCAGGCCGCCCCTCGCCCTCCCCCAGTCCGTCGACAGACGAGGACGGCGTGATTCAGAAGAAGAAAAGGTACCGATACCTCGCCCGTTTCCCGTTCTGTTTGGCCTCCTCGGAGGCCCTCGTCGCCACCGCTGGATTCGCCACGAAATCCTGGTCATACCGCACCCTGGCAGAAGTCAGGGGAGTAGCGTATCGGTGTCGGTATCGTTTGGTTTCTCTAGTGATGCGATTGCGGGGCGGGGGATCATCCATACGCATCTCCTAAAAGATCGATCTTCGGGGAGCTCGATGAGCCGTGAGTGTCGGTACATCAGGCCCTCCGTCCACCGCCGGCCGACGACCCCGCCTCGTAATGGTGGACGGCTGATGCCGATACTCTTGCGTCGCAACCGGCCATCCGCTTCAGATCCTGGATCTTGAGCGGGGACCGATCGTCCCGGCATTCCTAGAGTCCTACCACGAAATGTTCTGAGAACCCAAGAAAATTCTAAGAACAAAAACAGTTTTCTTAGAACAGAAACCCGATGTGATAAACCAAGACAGTCCCAGCCAGAAATGTTCTGAGAACATTCCGTGGAAACCACAAAAGGTTCTTAGGACATTCTGTGGTGGGACTATGGTCGAGCCAGGACGCTTCGCCACTGCTTGAGGATCGCCGCGGCAGCCTCCACCTGCGGCCCACGAGCGGCCGCTCCGCTGTGGCCAAAGAGGGCGGCGCCCGGCCACCCGGCCGCGCCCCGCGAGCTCCACGCCCCCGTCGGGTGCTGCCGGAGGCGTCCCTGGCCTGGGGCTGCGCCAGGGCTCCCAGGGAGGCCCCCCCCCCGGCCTGCAGGAGCACCCCCCCCACGAGGCCTGGGGCCCCGCGGGGCTCCGGCAGGGAGCGAACTGCTCGGGGCACCTCGGGCCAGGGACACCTTGAGCAACCCCCTTCCACGCACGCCCGCGCCCCTCCCCATCGGCCCCCCTCCTCCCTCTCCTCCTCCTCCTCCTTCTCCTCCTCCTCTTCTCCTCCTCTCCTCTCCTCCCCTCCTCCTCCTCAAGATGATCCTCCTCCTCCTCACTCCTCCTCCTCCTCCTCCTCCTCCTCATCTCCTCAAAATCCTCCTCCTCAAATTCCTCCTCCTCCTCCTCCTCCTCCTCCTCCTCCTCCTGCTCCTCCTCCTCCCCCCCTCCTGATGATCAGACGAAGGCCCGGCGGCCCTGCTGGTCAACCACGTCTCTGGGTTCCGATCAGCTGGCCAGCTGGGCGGACTCAGTCTTCCAAGGGAGCACCTCTGCGAAAGGCAGGGCCGCCAGGCTTGGACAGCCGTGCCCATGGCTTCTCAAGCTTCATGAAATACAGTCAGCCCGCATAGTAAGGATGCGCGATAAAGGATGCAAGGGCCTCGGACGCCCAGTTCGTAGCTTTTCGAGCGGGCCGCGACCAATGAAAGCGGCCAAGGATGGGCCGAGAAGGCAAGGATGCAAGGGTACCCTTGGGAAGGTTGCGCATCCTTACCATGCGGGTTGACTCTACCCTGGGTAGAACAAGGGCTCGAAACTCTTGGCATCGTTTTCAAACCCTTCGTCTCCAGTGCTATCGCGCATGATCCATGTGACTCTCGTTGTCGTCGTCACCTGTTTTGATGATTTTATGACAAGCATATTTCCCCCGCCATGAGTCGCAGGCCGCAACGTATTGTGCTTGGGTGCTCGAGGCCAATGGTTTGAAGGACATGTATTGAGTGATGCTCGGGTCCGCGATGCCTCTCGTGATCTTGAGCGCCTCGGCTTCACTTGTGTGCCTCCCAACCACTGACCACCTTTGAGAACGATCTATTTTCTTAGCGTCGACAAACATGCGCATTTGAGGTTAAATGATCGGTGTGAAAGTGACGACGTCGTCGACTTGGCCTGGCACTCTTCTCGGGAGGTCGTCCTGTTCTTTGAGCTTGGCCACATCAGCCTGCCACCTGCTTGTGAGCTCAAGCTTCAAAGCAGCTGCTCTGTCCTGGCAGTCTGCACAGCGAATGCCCTCCAAGAGAGACCAGATAGGCTTCAAATTTAAACGAATAGGCTCCATATTATCCTCATGGATGCTTGCACCCCAGTTCTTCTGAATTTGACTCAACTTGGCATGGCTATCCATCCCGAGCCAACTATGAGAATCTCCTCCCAGAAATGAAACTTTGATCGACATTTCGGTGTTCGTGGTTTTCTTGCCGAGGACCGCCGAACTACTATGGGAAGCAGCTGCTCGCACAGTACCAAGAGGTGCTTTGAGCTCCGCTTTCGGCTGAAATGTTGTCAGATCTTCGTCCGCTGACGCTATGTTGGTGACTGTGGACCTCACCAAGCCACCGAGGTCGATTGCCGAAGCAAAAAAACGAACATTTCGATTACCTCTTCTGGTAGTTTAGTAACCAAGAATGTTCGAAATTCGTCGCGCAAACTCTGGTGGATTGATCGGCACGGATGAACCATGATGCACCACCGTGGAGATAAGTATATCCAGCCAAAATTGCTTCGACTGCGTGGATGCCTCCGTGTTCGTGCCCGCTGAGACAGACGCCGCAAACGCTGGGCTGGAGTCGGTACTGATATCGAGAGCTGCAGCAATCTTGTCTAAAGCCTGTACCAGAGACTCTGACTTCACGAACTCAAGATTTCCATACGGACTAGGTCCGAACTCAATGTCCTCTTCCTCGTATGTGAAGATCTGTTTCCCCCGCCTCAAGAAGTTGGCGTTCTTACCACTGCGATCAGGATCCCACGAGTATGCGAGCCATTCGAAGGATGTGATTCACGGCTGCTCTGCGGGTCAATTACCTCAAGGCTGGCGCCTGTCATGTCCACCACATCTCTGGCTGCGATTGCTGGGCTCCAGAGGAGTGCCATCGCTAGCAGGGTCCGCGAGGACATGGCACAAGATGCGAAGAAAGAATTCAGCAGGCCACACGCTGAACTACGAGGAAACAGCTGAGAGGCAAAACGCATCCAACCTAAGCCGTCGTGGCTCTGATGCTCGGCCACTGCCCGGGTGAGGGGACTCGGCTCACGCCATTGGCTGGCTTACCGACCGTCCTGGCATTCCTATAGGCTTACCACGAACTACCCTTTAGTACCAAAAAGTGCAAGACGCACCAGACATGTTCAAATAACATTACGTGCAAACCGCAAGTTCTTCGAATATCCTTAGAAGCCTTCCAGATGAGGTCGGAGTAGATGGGGGGGGTAGAAGGATCGCGTCGCATCGCCGATACATCGGCGATGCACCGGCGATGCACCGTCGACGTGGGCGATGCATCGTCGACGTCGACGTGAAGAACATCGGGTTCCACATGGAGCCGCATCGACGATGCATCGCCGATGCGGCGCGATCCCCCGCCCCATCCACTCGGACCCCACCTGGGAGGCCTAGACTTCTTTGGCGGGCCTACAGTCGGGGCCTTGACCTAAGGAACCCTAAATGATGAACGAAAGCCTGAGGCAAGCTGTGAAACACTTAAAGGAGCACCGAGCCCCTCCCCAACGTAGGGCGACGAGGTCTATACATATCCGCTGCTCCTGGCCAGTCCCATCCTGGGCCCAGGATCTGTGTATACCCCCTCCTGGGCCCAGGATGGGCCTGGCCAGGAGCAGTGGATATGTATAGACCTCGCGGCTCCCCAACGAAAAGGGTTCCTTCCTCGGGGCCCCGACTGTGTGCGCAGGCCAGCGTGTTACCCCTCTCCTCCCCGGCGAGCGGGCGCGGCTGGCCGGCCTAGCCGGAGGGCGCGCCCCGGGGGGAGGGGGGGGGGGCGGGGGACCGCACGACCTCCCTGACCTTCCCTGGCGTGCTAAAAACTAGATGCGGTTGTGATTGCTGGAGGTGTGATTATTTCCTTCCGGGGGGGGGGGGGGCGGGGGACCGCACGACCTCCCTGACCTTCCCTGGCGTGCTAAAAACTAGATGCGGTTGCGATTGTTGGAGATGTGATCCTTTCCTTCGATGGAACTCCCTGGCCGCATGCGAACGCAGCCGCTGGAGCCTTCGGTGGGGCGACCGATGGGGGCCACGAGACGCGTGAGGGGTGAGCCGAAATGGCGGTGGAACCGCATGCGAACGCAGCCGCTGGAGCCTTCTGTGGAGCTCCCTATGGGGCCACGAAACGTGAGAGGTGTGCCGAAATGGGGGTTGAACCGCATGCGAACGCAGCCACTGAGGCCAATGGCGGAGCTCTATATGGAGTCACGAAACGTGTGAGAGGTGTGCCGAAATGGCGGTGGAACCGCATGCGGAGCAGCCGCTGGGGCCATTGGCGAAGCTCCATATAGGGTCACGAAACGTGTGAGTGGTGAGCCGAAATGGCGGTGGAACCGCATGCGAAGCAGCCGCTTGGGCCCTCGGTGGAGCCCTATAAAAGGGGGCCACGGAACGTGCAGGAGGTGTGCAAAAATTGGAATGGAACCGCGTGCGAACGCAGCCGCCTGGGCCAATGGCGGAGGATCCTGCGGGGCCACGAAGCGCGTGAGAGGTGTGTCGAAATAGCGGTGAAACCGCATGCGAACGCAGCCATTGGGGCCTTCGATGGAGTTCCCCATGGGGCCACGAAGCGTGTGCGGGTGTGCCGAAATGGCGGTGGAACAACCGCATGAGAGCCACTGGGGCCTTCGGCTGAGCTCTCTCTGGGGCCACGAAACGTGCGAGGGGTGTGCCGATATGGGGAGCGGAAACGCATGCGCAGGCAGCCATTGGGGCATGTTGTGGAGCTCCCTATGTGGCCACGAAACGTGTGAGAGGTGTGCCGGCATGGGGTCGCAATCGCATGCGCACGCAACCAGAAGGGCCTTCGGTGGAGCCCCGTGTCGGGCCACGAAACGTGTGAGAGGTGTACCGGGTTGGCGGGTTGAACCGCTTGCGAACGCCGCTGGGGCCGTCGGTGGAGCTCCTTATGCGGCCACGAATCGTGTGAGGGGTGTGCCGACGTGGGTGTGGCGGACGCATGCGGGGGATTGTACTGGGTCCTTCGGTGAGCTCCCTGTGGGGTCACGAAACGTGTGAAGGGCGTCCCGAAGCGACAGGGATGGGAGGAGGGAGGAGGAGGAGGAGGAGGAGGAGGAGGAGGAGGAGGAGGAGGAGGAGGAGGAGGAGGAGGAGGAGGAGGAGGAGGAGAGGAGAGAGGAGGAGGAAAAGGAGAAGGAGGCGGAGGAGGGGACGAGGAAAAGGAGGGGGAGGAGGAGGAGGAGGAGGAGGAGGAGAGGGGGAACGCGGGGCGGTGTCTTTTCAAAACGGGACCCAACACCACATGATGCTTGGAAAACAGCTCTTCATAACTATAGACCTATGTGGACTGCCTGAAACCTCGACAGAAATAGAAAGAATGGTCAGTGCACGCGGACCCGTGGGGGAAAGGGGGGGATGGGCACGAGGCGGGGCGCGCTCCGAGCTTGGATCCAAGACCTATCCGAGCCTCCCGCAGGTGTCTGAATAGGTGTCCGAGCTTGGATCCAAGACCTATCCGATACACCTCTTGCATCAAGCCTGGGTGTCTGAATAGGGACCTTGAGATTGTAGGGGGTCCTGGGCGCAATCCATCCTTCCAATGTGGAAGCATCGCGTGGATAGCCATACCATTCAATTGGTACGGGAATGGGACCTTGCAGTATACCCCGCTTATTGTCTTCAAACTACAATTCGTTGACTCAAACCTGCCCAACCCGATCGTATTTGCATTGGGCATCGATTGGCGTGATGCCAATGAGTTGAACAATGTGGCTTGGCGGGGTCCTGCCATTGATACCCACCGACATGATGATGTCGTTGTCAGACCGCCAGACCGGGATGTCACGAAGAAAATTCTTGAGGGTCACCGCGATCAGAACTGCGGATTCAATCCGCATGCCCGATGGAATCAACCAGTCTCCAGGTAAGCATGGGCATCCACGAATCATCAGGATTGTCCTCGCTGCGGCAAGACAGACCAACCAGTATCATGTAATATCTTCGGAGTGTTTATCCATTGCGTACCGTGGGTGAAACATCATGGCGCCCCCGGTTCGTTCAGGTCTGTTACCCGTGAGTGCAGCTACTCTGGGCATCTGATGCTTGGATTGCCGCGCCCACTGCTGGGGCGCAAGAAGTACGGCGGGCAAGCTTCCACGCAGAACTTAAGCTTCTGAACCTGGAGCCGATTCTTCTGCATGCCGGACATGTTGTCGAACACCTCGCATACGTCGAGCACGGCCATTGCTTGATATGCCCAGCGCCGGTCTCGGAGGCATGTCTCGATGGCGCCCAGGTGATGAACTTGCCACTCCTCGTTGTTCCTCGGCGGCCAATGTTTCCACCAGGTCTCGGAGGTCTACCCAGCCGTCGAGTTCGTCATACGAGGTGACACAGCCTATAAACCGATGAGGGATCCGGTCGTGGTGAAATGGCTTGTGCCGAGTGGCCGTAGTAAGCCACTCAGAGCAGCCACGCTTATCGCACTCGCTCGGAAGCTCCGTGCTGATATGCTCCTGACGCAGTATCTGCACTAAATATTCCCCCTCGGAGCTGCAACTGAGGGCGGGCTCTTTCCGCGAGATGTTGCGGGCGAGCTGGCGGCCATGAGCATCGTGATCAGCGTGTGTGGCGGTGTGTACTATATCGCATTGACCACCCTGTATCGATTGGAGCCGTCGGCGGCCTGGGGCCTGTAGGCTGGTTTGACCATTATCTGATTAAGGGTTCCCAGGGTTTCTCAGAATCGCCTGCTTCCCTCTACCAATTCAGGGATAGCAGCGGGTTGCCCCGCATGCGCAAAGGATGGTTCAGCGACTGTCCCCGCAGGGGTCACTGCCGCAGCTGGCGCTGCAGATGGGCTTGCACTCCCAGATGATTCTTTTCCCGGACGTCATAAAACTGGCATCCGGCTATCTTCGGAGCAGCTCCTGGCGCTTTAGATGTAGTCTGCAGTGCCATCTCACCCTCACCTCGCTGCGAGGAGCGCGCGCTGGTCGTGCCCTCCAACGATGGCGCCCAGCCAGCTCCCCTGTGGAGCCCGCCAGGAGTTGGGCCACGCAGGTATACAGGTTCCTTCGGCGCGGGCGAACTGCTGCCATGGAGCACTGATGCTGCCGCGGCCACCGCTGGCCCCCTCGAGCGCTGTCTGCGGGCAGGTTACACCGCAACTCTGCGTGATTAGTTGATTCCAGGGTCGGCCTCTGTTGAGCCGGTCCTCTTCTTGTGTTCAGGTGGCGCTGGAGTTGGTGGCCTTGGCGCGCTTGGCGATGGAGATAAATCGACGTCCTTCTCAGATCGCTTCTCCAGAGTATTCGGGACCGTGGGGGGTTCCTCAGCGGGCGCCCCCGCGCTCGAAGATGCCGCGGGTTCCCCCGCATCTCTCGATGGCAGCCTCTCTGGAGTAGGATTCCTTTTTGGCATGTAAAATGGCATGTTCTTGATGTTGGATTTGCGTCTACAATCCGACTTGCATGTCCACTGGGCAGCTTGCACAGTACCTTGGCGCCTACACGTCCGACTTCCCTGGCCCGCTACGACGCCATTGTAGCAGGCGCCAAGTTCATGTCCTACGCCACTGGTTGGATGACGTCCAAATCCGCATTGGTTGACTCGCTGCTGTCAGTTTCATAAGTGCCCCTTCATGAGAGGAAGAAGCGGGCTGCCCCGCAGGTGGTGCCTTAGTCATCATGTCATGATATCCTCGATTGTATCGCTTGAGGCGGTGATCTTCAACGAGGTTGCGCCGCCCCTGTTCAACGTGCTTGGAGTCATCTTCGGTGAGCGGCTGGTAATCATCCTCGGTCAAACGTCGCCCAGGCGGGCAGCAAGTCGGATCTACCTTGCAGCCCAAACCACCTCCATGAGACCAGCCCCACGGCGTCCTCTCAAAGTTGGGGCTCCTTGAAGGATGCTCAATAGGACAGTCTGGTCTGTGGTCTGCAAAATGTTCGCAGCTGCAGACCTGGCACTGGTACTCTTCGCGAGCTCTAATGATGGCCGTTTTCGCGACCCTGTTTTCAAGCGCGGGGGCCGACTTGGCGCCGGAATCTCAGATGGCACGGGCGATCTTGCCAGGATCATCGCGAGTAACATTGCGGAGTGAATACCAGTCGCGGATGTCGTGCTCGGCCCAGCCTTGGCTGAGCCACCACTGCGCGTTTGCTGCTGACACCGATTTCCAGGCCAGCCCATGATCTTCGTTGCTGACAAGACGCTGTAGGTCTGGGCCTTCGGGTTCGACTGGCTGATCCTCGTTCTGAGGCGGGCTTCCCCGCAAGCGTTCCTTTCTGGGTGGAGTTCCTGGAATCCTCGTATCCGGGGGATGTGGGCGCCATGCGTCACTAGAACGGGCGCGCGAGCCCCCGCGCGAATGACTCCGCCCATGACGCTGCGCGTGATGGGTCTCAGCATCCACTTCGTCCTCATCGTCGCCATTGCGATGTGACCGCCTCAAAACTGGGCGGCTCGTGGATTGGCCATGCATTATAGACGCGAAGTGAGAGCCGTCGTTATATCCAAACGCAGATTGGATGATCTCGGAAAAGGTCACCAGATTCGCGCGGGTCACCCCGCCAAGGGATCGTCGTCGCACGGTTCTCCGTATATCGGGATTACCAAGGACCTGCGGCTGGAGCATCAACTGTAGCTCCCCCCCTGATGCTGGCATCGCAGGTGCCCCCGCCATCTCACGGTCCGAATCGGCGGGCACGTGAAAACCCTTGACGAACTCAATCTGCGTAGGTTGCCCCGCAATGGGAATGCCCAGCCAGTCCGCCAGGTTGATCTAGTCGCGGCCAACGTAGATCTCCTCGAAGAGCTTATCGGCATATCTCTCGAGGGACACGCTAGCTCTCATATACCTGGCGGCCATGAAGTGGACGGCAGCCGTAGGGGCGTCTTCGGGTTCGGTGATAGCGTTTCCAACCAACAGACTGAATGTTCGAATCGGTGTCGACGGACCCCTACCTCTCCCATCGCGCTGGGGGCGCTCACGAAGCAAATGTTGCGTGCTACGACAGATGTCAAATTCCATTGTTTTCCCACTGGCATCATTCGGGTTGCCCCGACGTCCCTTGCAATTTCCTGGGGTGTGCCTACGGCCCTACCTGTCCCCAGGAACATGTCTTTGTACTGTGGTCCAGTAGTGGGGGGCCACGTAGTCGCCGTCGTTAGCCTTGACTTTGCCTCTACTCTAACCCTTTGATCTAAACGCCCGTCGGATCGTACGTCGAAACTGACGAACTGGTTTCTTCATGCAGCGTCTCCAACGGCGTTTGTTTTTGGTATCCTAGGAAGAACCACTGCACCCGTTGCTGTCCTGTGAGATGCACAGGCATGCCGGAGTAATCCAGGGCACCAGCTCCTTCATCCGATTCGGCGGCAATGGCCAAGCACACCACCAATGCTGCCAGGGGTTCACGCAGCAATGTGAACATCAGACCCCTGCGCTCTAGTAGAGCATCAAACTGTTGCTGGGTCCTTGGAGGTTGGTGGTTGAATGGTTGTAGTAGTTGGTGTGCGCGCGACGTACCCACCCCTAGAGCTCTGAACATAATAACTGTTAGGACCTGGGAGTTGGGGATATTGAAGCCTGCCGTCTCGGCCCCGAAGCGTGCTATCTCAAAGCATGCCAACGTCTGGTCGACGCGCTCTCCCGCATGGACGCGAAACCGTTCCTGGATTCAATTGGCGCTCCTCCTCTAGATTTTCGAACATAGTGCTGCGGAGGAACAGGTGACGCTGTCACTGTGGCGACCATACATTTGCGCGCCAACGGTAATAAGTACAGAAGCTACTCTCATGGCTATGGTCCTTGCGAGCCTTCCCAAACCACGTTGTAATGCTGCGGCCTGTTGGGAGGGGGTCGTGGTGCCTGCGGTCACGTTGATCCAGGCGTGTCTCGCGAACGTATTCCCGGAAGGTGCATTACCGGCAGGGTCCCAGTGGGGGCCCGTAGTACGTGCGTCGTCTCCGCCACGCTGCGCGTGCCCACCAGCGCACCCGATAGCGACCCATAGGAGGCCAAATATGGTAACGCCAATCCAATGGCCCCTTAGGTCGTTGTCGGATGGTTTGTGGCTGAAGGTTATGATATGTGATAGTTAACCTGCGTGGGGGTGGAGGAAGCACAATGTCGTATCGCATGTTGCCATGTAATTAAGACGCATGTAAGAGGCGCTGCACGTGTCCTTGCGATTTTGCGTAAATATGTTCATTCCCCCGCGCAGACCACTGCACCCTGATGACCTCCAAGATGGCTCAAGATAGCCCAAGATGCCTCAAGATGGCTCCCACGATGCTCCAAGAGGCCCCCAAACCGCTCCAACACGGCTCCAAGTGGCCAAAGAGCATCCCCAGGAGGCCCCGAAGAGGCCAACATCCTTCCAAAACCTTATGACAATCAATGTGTTTGGCTTTCTCGCCTTTTCGCTTCCGATGGCCATCCGAGGCCTCAAGATGGCTCCAAGATGGCCCAAGGGGGCTGCCAGAGAGGTTCAAGAGAGCCCCAAGACGGCCCCAAGAGCGCCCAAGAGCTTCAAGAGCGCCCCAAGAGGCGACAGTTTGGCTCCCGAGGGGCAACGCTATCAATGCTCCCCTCTTGTTTGATCGATGTCCTCCAAGATGGCCCCAAGAGCGCTCCCAAGACTCCCAAGAGCACTTCAAAAGGGCCCCAAGAGGCGCCCAGGAGGCCCCAACAGGCGCCCAAAAGGCCTCCAAGAGGCTCCCAAGAGACCCCCAAGAGGCCCCAAGAGGCCCCCCAGAGGCACCCAAAACGCTTTAAAAGGCGTCCGGGACCGCCAAGAGGCCCCCAAGACGCTCCAAGAGGCCTCCACTGGGGGACCCTTCCTCTGCGTGCTGCCCACTTCCATGATCGAGGCAATTTCTCTGGGCATCGTTTCTGGATGGGCTGGTGGGGTTACGCGAGGCGTCTAGAATAGACCTCCTCAATAGCACTATCACCATCATCTTCACCGTTGCTGTCATAAGCAACGTTGTCCTAGTTATGATAATCGATATTGGTATTGTAAGTCTGAACGTGCATTGAGTGTTTGGGCTCATGATGGGAATAACGACTGTGTTAGATACAGGGCATACCGATGAGGCCGACGATGCCAAAGTCAATTGGGCATCTAGTTCAGATCAGCATCCAGACTGTAAAACTGGCAAATAAAAAACGGTACAACTGGACAACGCAAGCAACATGCTAGTTCATATATGCTGAATTCGACATGCTGGCCAGTGCAAAGGCACCAAGCAGTACCACACCAAACAGAAGGCAGCCAGAGGTAGGATGCCTGTAGCGACTACAGGCACATGACTGCGCCAACAAGCACGAAATAACATCAAAGCAACGCGCGACGGAAATCCACGACAAGCAAACGTGGACTGCACCGAACTCCCCCCCACCACCACCATGAACTCCATTCCACCTACTCCCTCCTGCCGTCCGCCGGGCAGGGCGGGATAGAAGTACTGCCGCAACTGACTTTGAGCTTTAAGTTCAAGCCTTGCGGTCCCTCCAGCAATGGAGGGACCCCAAACGGCGCTGTGGGGCTTAACGCTTGCTCCTGCCGAGTCGATCCGATCCCTGCGCTGCGGTCCTCCCGGTGTCCTCACACCAGATCGCCGAGGTTCTTGCAGAGGAAGCGGGAAGACATCGAGAAGTAGTGGTGCAGGAGCTCCGCGAGCTTGTCCTCGGTGAGGCCAGGGACGGCGTCCATGAGCCGGGCAGCGGTTATGGTCATGGCCTTCTGGGGCGGCTCCCCCTCCTCTGCGGGAGCCTCGGCGTCCTGGGCACTGAGCCTCTTCACCCACGTGGCGACGGCATCTTCGGCGCCAGCCTGGTCGAGCTCGCTGCCCAGCACCTCGAGGATCTTGGAGCGCGGGGGCCACCGCCCCCGCCTCCACCGGAGGGCGGCCGCGGTCACCCAGAGCAGGTCCGTCAGAAACCCGTGCAGGATGGCAGGCGACGTCTCGAAGCCGCTCTTGACGTCCACGAACGCGTCGACGATGATGGCGAGGAAGAAGTTGAGGAGCAGGAAGAACACGACGCACATGTAGGTGCCCGCGTACAGCCAATAGACCGCGGTGTAGCCGCTGGTCAGAAATTCGGCTCCGCCGGCATAGATGAACTCGCCGTAC